CAAACAAATTGAAAGTCTGAACACAGCCTTTACAACAATGGAATGGATATAAGGCCCTCAAAGAGGTCACTCCTGCTAACTGGAACGTCAGAGCCAGAAATAACACCTCGTCTAGTGTTCATGACTCTGAACTTAGGCAAACAAATTGAAAGTCTGAACACAGCCTTTACAACCCTCGAATGGATATAAGGCCCTCAAAGAGGTCACTCCTGCTAACTGGAACGTCAGAGCCAGAAATAACACCTCGTCTAGTGTTCATATTTAGACTCTGAACCCAAAAGTACCTCCCCAATAACGTCTGAAAAAGAGCAAGCATACTCGCGAACTGAGGTGAGAACGATCACTGGGGTAATCACAAGGCTTAGCCACCGCGAGTAAAATGTATAAACATATTACCGTGCAAGACAGATCGCACAATGTGGGGGTTTTAAGATGGTGGGGAAAGTGTTTACTTTTCCGTTCTACTTACGTCTACATACATGGTAAAATGACATTGAAAAAATATTAAGGACTGGACACAAACATCACTAAGCTATCATTTCCAAGTTTCGGCAATTTTCGAACAGTAGTCATAAAGGATGCAAGGAAAAAGCAAGCAGAACAGTGTTCAAGACCTAATGAAGATGGCCGGGTGTTTTGATAAATGGGCACAATAAACTGTACTACTTTCCACTCACCTCAGCCAACGATCCCAAATCACCCTGACTCTTGAGTTTGGCTTTCAAATGTTCCAAGCCAACACCTAGAGAGGAGAACATAAGTTGATGGAATAGCTTATGATTTCTCAAAAGAGCCACGTCTTCCCGCGTTCGTAATTGCGAAAGGTTATGACACTGGATAATTGAAATAAGAATGGGTGCAACGGAAAAAGCAATACAACTAGAATCAATTTGAAAAAGTCTGAAGTTAATTTAGAGCTGGTAGTTTTACAAACACTTTTAAACGAGATTTTTTGTCAAATTCCTGTGGGAAAATTGTTGTCAGAGAATATGGACACGAGCAGCTTATGGTGAAAACAAGTACACCAACAGGACAAACAGCAGACCATAGAAGAGGCGAAGCATTTGACCACTCCTGAGAGGCAGAATTTCCAACTTTGATTCGCGCCTGACATTATATATATACCCACTAAAGTCCAGTTTTCGGCACAACAAAGCATGTAGAAATGAAAACGAATTACAGCATGAAATGCTATTTGGCGTCGAGTCGGTGAAGATTCACGAATACGCCACAAATGTGACTCCGCGCCATTCCCAGAAGTATCTTAAACCAAGTACAGTCGTCCTCTTGATGCCCAAGCCAAGGGGTCGGCATGGGGCAAGAGATTGACTGACGGTGATAGATTTCAGTACTTAGCACCGGATGACGCGTCAGCCTCCTATGCTCGCGAATGGTGCTGGGAAAGGTCAGTGCAGGGGTATACCTACAACGTGCCCCAATCATCTTAGTTGTAGGTGGAGCAATACTGAGTCGAACACCTTCGGAGCGGCCGGCACATCGTACACATGTGATTTCTGTTGTATATTTGCTCTGTTTTTCAAACGTTTCATCGTGTGTCTTGGTAAATCATCTTCTGCTCCGGCTCTCAGTGTCGAAGTTTTGGATGAATAAAGCCTAGCTTCCGGGCCCTCAGTTTTTTCATTCTTATTCTGATTGCGCTGCATTCCATCCCTCGTCGAACACAACGGTTTTCCAAGAAGCGACGATCAGAGGTAGTCAACTTACTAATGCCTTCAACAAAAGGGTCCAAGTTTTACATCTGTATAAAAGCACTTCTTGCGTCCCACACATGCAAATTGTAAAATGCTACCGCAGTTTAAATGAAACTTAATCCACAAGCCTGCAGACTACGCGGCCAACATGGCGAACAAAATCATCTTAGCCGGATGATCATGTAGATCCCACGTGGACTATAGAAAACGGAAAACTAAGACAACTATTACGTATCCTCGATGCCTGTGGCGTCGTTGTAACATCAACTTGGCCATCACCTGCAGAGAAACTTCCGGGAAATGCAATCAACACTGTCTCACGGAATTCGCCTTTTTTCGGGCAACAGATAAGGAAACGTTTCGGGTTTTACTAGCGGTGTCTCCGAAGCAGTGCCCATAGTCATTGGGTTCACCGAACGAGAAATGCAGCAGTGTGCAACGTGGCCGTCGGAAGGCAGGATAGAGCTATTCACACCATAGACTACACTGTTTGAACCACGCGCTTCATTTGGCAGAAGACCATCTGCCTTGCAGGACCACTTTTGTCCAGCTAAGCGCAAGACGGAAAACACTAAGTGTTCAGCCCTTGACTTAGCACGAAGCGTGAAAGCATCGATCATTAACGAATCACATTGGGAACTGTCGTCTTTGTAGCAGGGGCACACCGAGTAAGGCAACCTAATGGCCAGTGACGTCAGCAGATGTGGATCAAACAAGCAACCTGCATCAAATTTATCGCCTCCAGTGCGTAACAGTCTCGAGTCCTACTTGGTCGAAAATTGCAAAAATCTAAGGACGTTAAAGCGGCTAGGATACTCAATGCGATAAACGAATGCATCCATGGACGAAATGGTAGTAACTGGAACGGTTCGTAGTTGGCTCCTACCTGACAATCTCTGCATAGACGTAGGACGTTCGGCTGCAACACTCTCTTTCGCTGCTTAGCTGCCAAGCCACCCGAGAAAAACACGAGGGCTGGGTTACTGCCAGATTGACCAAGCCTAGACAGCAGAAGTTGAGATGCAGAGGCCGGGTCCGAAACACGGACTTTCCAGTCAGTAAATTCTCACCCTAACCGCTAAGTCATCTCGCCGCTCGTATATAACTCACATATAACTTCGGATTCAGAACACAATGGAGTATTTCCATATTTTCAAAAACCAAAAATCACTTTCCAAAACTACTGGGTTTATCAAAACATGGAACACCACGCTAACCAGCACCTCCCATTGATGTAAAACATCCAAAACAAGACGCAATTGCATTCCACCGAATTCACTTGGAAAACCCATCTTCATTTAGATCGATTCTTGACCGGGTGTTTTCAGCAGTCATTCAATTCATCAGCTATAAACCGTGTAACAATGGTACGTTGGTTCCAACTGCTACAGTATCGACCAGCGGAAAATGGGAGAGCAAATAGGATATACCCAAGCATTAGAAGCGATGGTATAATCAGTCCGCTAGAACTTGAAAATTCAACACTGAGGGCGATAACCTTGATTGATTGAAGTATATCTGCCAGTGTAATTAACCTTTGGTGAGTCGAGTCCCTGGGTTCCCGTTCGTCGAACCCAGTGGTTAGCGTTTTCATACTTCAGTGCCAGGTCATAGATTGTCCATCTCTCAGTCGTTTTCATTCAGCAAACAGCTCTGCAGGGCAGGCGGTTCGCGGAGTACATGCCATAAACACCGACTTATCATGGGAGAGTTTCTTCTTCCTAAAACTATCTGAAGTACTTCAGGATTTCTAATCTGATGTTCCCATTGGATCCGATCAATGCTTCAGAGACACCGATAGTCAAACACTGACAGATTTCGTACGTCCTCTGCACGTAGAGGTCACGTTTCTAATGCGTGATGCTCTTGAGATAACAACTAACGTCCGTAAGCACCATAGGTATCGGGGGTTGACAAAAGCTACCCAAGCCTTCCCAATTCGAGAAGTAATAAGGCCAACATTCGCTACTCCGTCCTTCCTTGGAGGAAAACAGTATCACTGTTCCATAGATATGGGCATGCTGGACGCCTGAAAAAAAACACCTTACTGTCTCCAAGCCACTACCGCAGACTAGAGCGACCTCCTTCCAGAACGCCCCGTAATACGATTTCTAGCAATATGGTGATTCGCTGGTTTTTGTTGGACTGCTCACCGCTGAACTTTACGGCATCGCTTGACTCTAAGGGACTTAGTTCCAGCTCCTGTAGCCGGCAAGACTACCACAGCGCTGAAGCGCGACCACCAAGGCAAGGTGACAACTATAGGTCGGGACTTCCAGTATAATTATCCGATTCGTCACCAAGCCAATCAAGTTTGACTTTCAATATCTTTATCAGAGCGATAAAAAGGAGGTGAAGAATGTAACCTGTGTACGACAGAAGTCGCGAAAGTTAATAAAGGTCGCAGGATCCTCCACTGAACGCGTCTTTACACTCCTCGATAAAACCATTTGAAACTTAAAGAGATCCGTGTGTTCTTAGTTCTAATGAGCAGGGAACAACGGACGGCCACAAGTCTGCCAAGCATTTATGTGGCTAAAATGACCACATGAGTTATGAGTTAATGGAAGGGTTCCAGCAGCTGAATTTGTTTAGCTGACCATCGTCTTTTATTTAGCCGTAGCACACTTCTGGTGTATAGCGGCCATTTCACCCGAAGGAAGAATAAGAGATGAGATATACGTTAGATAACGATAGAGCTGCAGAGGTTGGCTTTGAAAAATAAACTTTTTGGCCTCTCCATCAGCACTGGCAGCAAAGTTAAAAGAGAAAACTAGTCCCTCCTTGGAGAAGACGCAACATCCGATGTAACGAGGTATAACATAGGAGTATTTCATGGTTGTACGAGGGCTGAGATACTCCCAGAGTGCCCAAACTCAAAGGACGATTAGGGTCCTCAACCAAAGCCTTTGGCTCAAAAGCAGCGGTGGTCGAAGTGGAGACGTCGGAGCTTCCCACATTTTGAAGGTCCCAATCCCTAATATGTTCTCACCCCCAACCTAAGGAGCCAGAAGACTGTGTTAACTACACCTCCACAAGTGAAAATGGAGATAAAATCGTTCAGCAGTAAAACCCTTCCGGTGACTAGCTGTCATGGCAACGAAAGGAGGCACGAAAGCTGGGATACTGCCATATTTTTTAAACCTAGACGGAAGCAGTCGAGATGCAGAGATCGGGTTCGAACCACAAACTTTCCGGTCGGTAAATTTGCGCTTTAATCACTGAGCCACCTCTACCAATTAACCAATTCGATCATCAGTAAACTCTCCATTTAGTTCAGTGGGTGATGGAGGCGGGAAACTGTCACACCACGGTCAGATCTATCCTACTCGTGAATGGGTTTGAGTTTTAACCACTGAGCTACCCCTGCGCCGAGTAGATATCTCCAAACAGCTACGCATAGGGCCGAGCGTTTTCCTAGCCCATATGTTGAACACGGTCACCACGCAGGACCAGAAGAAATATCGTTCAAGTGGCGGCAATTCCACACACCTTTAATAACCATTCAGCTGGCAACTTGCAGTTGGTCAGCCACGGTGGTCAGCATCAAAGAAGCCCATAACGATTAATTGGCCCCGCATTAAGGATTTGGGCAACCGGAATTCACGCGAACAACTGTGAGTGGATTTATATTTGTTTTGGAAGCGATGAGCAGTTATTAAGCAACCATCCAATCTTTCCAACTAGTCAGGTTAACATCAATGCTGCAAAATTGAGTTCAAGTACTTTGAAAACTTAGGAAAAAATCGTTCGGCTTTAGAGCCCTCTCTGTGCCTAACTGCCATGCCACCCAAAGGTTGCACGATGGCTGGGATACTGCCAGGTTGCCGCAGCCTAGACAGGGGAAGCCGAGAGGCAGAGGTCGGGTTCGAACCACGGACCTTCCGGTCAGTAAATCCGCGCTCTAACCACTCGGGCCACCTCTTCCCTTTTGAAACTTAGTGAAGAGTCAATTTGCGCGCAGGTCTATCCCACAGCTTTATGTTCGCAATTACGTCTCTTAGCCAGTCAATCATGGCTCGCGGTTAATAAATAGTGCTTAAACCAAAAAGTTGTATTCGCCTCTTGCAAAATTTCATTTTTGTTCACTCGTTACTTAATCGACCAGATTGTGACCGCACAAGTGATGTAATAGCGGTCACACGGAGAGCTAGTTCACATCCTATGCTCTCTTATGAGCATCTAAACCCCGGAAAAATTGCTGTCAGAGTGGACGATTTCACGTTTCTTTGAGATCCAAACCAGTAGATGATGAGGGGAGCCCGTAGGCTGGAACTGCTTACCCCTACTCTGGTTGGAGAGATAAAATATAGCCATAAATGATTATTTAGTCGGGGACTATCGATTAAGCGGCCATGTTTGGAAATGTGGGCGCTGCGTAATGCATGTAAGAGACACCTCTCCATCCTGCAGTTACTTTTCACTTTAGGATTTTTCGGCCTGCACCTTTTAGGTTTGAACAGCAGCGACAATGTGGCTGTTTATGGTTATATTGACGTCTTCCAGGGTCGGCGAAAAAACGGAACTCATGAACTGCTTACCAGTAGTCATGCCGAGAGCCTTCAGGAGGATAGTTTCTCCGACACCCAACTCATTCCCTTCATAGGCAGGTCCGAGTTGGTTCAAGCATAGGTGGATACAGGTCGATAAATCATCGGGAGATAGAAATCCAACAGAACGAAAAAAATTACTGAGTGCTTCGATTATCTTGAGTCTGAATCCAAATTAGAAGAGCTCAAAAGGAACAACCTTCCAGAAGTTGACTCAATGAATTCAAACGTCTTGGCAAGACAAAGATAAGGGACGCTAAATGCATGTTAAGGCAAAGAATGATGTCAGTACCTCGATCCGTATTCCCAAGGGGCATCATGCACTGGATGGTAGTTTTCTTTTGCAGGGTTGTATGCTAAACTGATCCAAGTAATTTCTCTAAAAGCATCAGTTACGTGGT